CTTTAATCGTTACTGTATGCAAGACTGTCATAGGTTACTTATTAAATGACTGTCACGTGACTAAATAATAATTATTGCTAAATTCCTTGCGTTAGTGTAGTTCTTCTTGACTTATTTTTTAATAGTTTATGTACATAATCATGCACCAGCTGAAAGGTGCCCCGTGGCTGACTTCAGACCAAGGCGAAAGTAGACGCTTAACTTACTGGGAACAAATCGATTCTGGTCAACAGCTGACTGACACGCGAAAGTTTTTCACCATATTTCCGGTGGTCTTGTAAGTATAATTTATTTACATAAAAATGCGATTTTGCATACACGTACTATAGGCGCTAAAATACTATGGATTCGCGCCTGTTTAAACGATCTCATAGGCTAGTAGAGACATTGCGACTACACTGTGTAAATCCGGAGCTTTGGTAGGAGATTATTGGCTTATTTTCTGATATTTTTTATGACAAATTAAATATCTCATTTGAATAAAGAGTAGAAAGACTGCGGGGGTCATGTCTTTGGCAAAATCGAAAGCAAGTATACCAAGAGCATGTTGTGATAATATTTTGTGCAGATGGCAATTTACCCTGAAGATTACGTCAGCGTGTGCTGTTGACACTACGTTAGTGAATAAAATATTTTTTATCGCTGTTGTACTCTCTTGTCATGAACCCTGAGTCAGGAAAAGAATTTTTAATTTTTATTCAGAAAGACCGTAAATCGATCTCTTCCTTTAGTTGAAATTTTTGTAAATGTCGTCCTCTGAAAGATGATAAAAATGGAAGTTTTTGAACAGCGTTATTACGGGAGATTTTTCAAGTTTTTACCATCAAAGCGACTTCAGTGGATGTTTTCTTTCCATTTCCATCAAATGTTCTTTCTAGATTTCGTTGTTTTTCGATCAGGGACCACGGCATGACAAAATGAGTTTTAATATATTTTTCTTGAGGCTAATATGGATTTTAACCCTTCGATTTTTCTGCCTGATCTTATAATCCTAGTGCCACCCTTTCCTTAAAGGTATGGCGGCTTTTTCCGCCTCTCGGCTAGCGTAGCGCTATCAGCTAGCCATTTCAGGGTTAATATCACTTCTAGTCTACAATACATCGTCCTATGATGCCACCCTTTCCCTTGACTTTTGCTCGCTTTACGAAACGGGAAGGAGGAAGAAATATGAAAGTGTAATTTATTATACAAATTAAACTTTAATAAACGTTTTTATTTGTATGCCAGGATGATGATGACGCCATCAACGATACACAGTTAAAATCGTCCAGAAGTTTTACCTATGCGACATGACACCAGCATTTCGAAACTGTAGTTTCGACCAGGTAGGGCCCATTCTAATTGCAGGAAAAGATAATGGAAGATGGTACCTGGTAGATTGATGCTTTAATCTTAACCCGTCGAAAAGAACCGCCATTGTCGTTCACATTATCAACTACCTCACGAAAACGACCCGAAATCTCATTCTGCTGTGATGGAGTGAGAAGTACGGCTTTTCTGTAATGCCTTGAATAGAATTAAACCGCAGCCTTATGTTTCGAAAGCACATGTGAAAGAATCCCACGAAAATGAGTGCCCGCAACAACATCGTGCACAAACTTATTCAAGAGTCTTGGCGTTTCGTTGAACAGAATCTATGTTCATTGCTTTGCGACCTCATCAGCTAGCTTCCGCCCTCACTTTCTAAATGGGAAGATATTACAGTTGCTGATTATGAGGTCCCACTGTCGGTATCTTTCCCGTGAAATCTCATCCAACAAGTCAAAACGGTGTCACGCTGTTTGCCTCCTTCTTTCAGAACGGGTACGGACTCTGTTGCTGGCTGGCATCGTGTTCATCTTGGCGCAGGTCTTCGATAGCCAACGCTGTGCTACTCCATCCCACGCTACAAGAAGCAGCATATGCTGTTTTTGATTTCCGACTTCGCGACCTGCCTCAATTCTCCAACAGCTCTAGGTAACCCGAACGACCACCGAGCCGGTATAACGTTTGAAAACGGCAACACAATGAGGGACTGATGGCTACGTTCTACGAAAGACTTCGCGATTTTTCCCAGCCGTCCTCCTTTATCATCCGTGCTTGAGACTGATAACGGCATTTATGTTATACATTTGATGTTTAAAAATTAAGTGAAATCTTTTGTAATGATTCTCTATTCGGCATTAAGTAGTTTATTTCAGATTTCTCATAACGAGCTATGCAACGAATTATGCGTTTGGTCCATTTCTGATAAATTCTGCAACACTTATGTTGGTTCTGCTTCCGAAGCTGCCCCAGTTTCACAAAGTTCGAGTGTTTGATCTGAATAAATACTGAGAAAATGAAGACAGTGACGAAAACCACCACGATTGTTGCTTGCGCTTGAAAATTTTTCGTACATTTTCCAGTATTTTTTAACTTACGTTTGTTTCCTCAGTTTTTGTATTAAAAAGTATTTTGGGCCAACTGATTCTATTCGTCGTTTGACACATGACGGTTTCCCATAAAATGTTTCATCGACTTATGATGCGCCTTAGTGTATTTTAATGTGCTGTAATTTTTAATTTGCGTTTAGGACAGGTAGTTCTAGTGTCTCTTCTGTTGTTGATCGGCACTCTTGCTGTTTCTACTTTCTTCTAATCAAAGCTAAGAGTCAGATATATGGGCATCATCAGTAAGGAAAAGTTTTTAGCAATTGATGATAGACAGCCTCGCGAGCCTTTTGAAACAAGTAGCTGCAAAAACAATCAAAATGTAATATTTGGGATAGGAGGATCAGTAGGATGTTCAGACATTGACACAATATAGAGTACTTTCCAATAATCCGGGAGTGCTTTTTCGTTAATGCATTTTCGAAAGAAAAATCTTTTCAAATTTCTGGGCTACAATACTCAAAAGCCTTTCAGAATACTGTAAGGTTCAATTAAAGCAGATTAAATGTCAGGACTTGGTGAAACACTAGGGTAGAGGCGATCCACATATTACCGAGTGCATGTGGCCGACATCACATTAAGTGGCCACTATCCGTGTCAAGAACAGAATTTACGGCAGATATTAATCTTTTCCTAATCACATATTAATCGATCAATACTGATCATGGTTATCAACGTTTGACGTATTAATTATTCAACTTTTTTTGCGAAAAATTTACGTTTGTGTTTCTGATTATTTGTACTTGTAGAATTTAGTCAGGTTTACATTCTTGCCTTAATTAGCAAGCGATAGCTAACGTTTCCACAGATCTTGGTGAAATCTCATGCAATACGCCTATCGTTATTCATCACGAAGCTTTTAGGTTCGGGATCGTCTCTATACTTTAACATTAAGAAAACCAGCGCCGTTTTTAAATCTAGCAAACTAACCATTAATTGCCACAGAACTGAGACACCGTCTGAATATTTTGATTCTGTCTTCGAAAACTCTTCATGCCTTTGCATGAATCATCAAACTGAGCAGAACTTGTTTTTCGATTTGTTCTTCCACCTTCAATGTTGAAAATTTTTCCAAAATCAGAAATATAAGTTCGCTTTGCTATTATTATTATTATTAAAATTAAAGCAGATCTTTTGACATGTTCCTTTGTAAGAGTAGCATCCTTACACGACTGTTTTTTACAACACCTCAGTCAACGATGAAAGTTTATGAATACAAATGCATGACTGTCTACGTTTAATAGAATACAAATCGAGGCTGAGGAGGGCGCACAGCAGGAGCTTTCTTGCACAAGACTGCTGTTAAATGGCGTGCAAGTGACGTAGGCGCGTTTTGTATAAGTGGAGACTTTTTCATCTTCCTTCAAAAACAACTTGTTTAAGTCTGAATTTAGATAAGTCAGCATATGTCTGTTTGTACCTATGTTTAACCTTTTCGGTAGACCACGATTCCAAAAACAACCGATATTATTCGTAAGTAAATATCTAAAAACAAATTGAAAATTTCTAAAATAATGAATATTAACTATACGTGTGCACGAAACGCTGCGTTAAACCCTTAACATTCTCAGGAAAATAAGTTTACTACAAATGTTAATCAAATTACACTTGTTGAAACAATATAATCGCTTACAACGAACAAAATGATAAACATTTGCCAAAAACGTATGAGCATTTACTCAAAATCTGATTTTCTCTAGTAGAAGTCTGGCCTTCTACGTCTGATTCTTGGACCAGGCGGCGAGTATAAGCTAATTAATAACGACAATACGATCATGGATAGCAAATATGTTAAGAAAAGGCGTGAATATGCGGTGGCCCTGTATTGACGGTGGAACATTTCTCGTCGATAAGCCGCCATCCGAGCTCTGTGCTGGCCCGTTTGGGTCCAGTCACTAGCCACACTACTTGAGAAAGCTGACTCCCCTTCATCTGCCTCTTTGATAATATGCTTCTGGTACTGTCGATGAAAGGCCTCGAAGTCTGGAGGAGAATGATTATTTGCCATCGACGCTGCCGACCGACGCATCCGCATGCGGCGCTGAAACTCGTAAAACTCGTTCATGTATGCGGTATCGACCCCAGCACCGGGAGGCTGTCGAAACGGTGAGCGGTCGAAAGTGACAGCGACGGCACCTGCTGACAGTGATTCGTCGTACTGGCAACGCTTTTTTGAATTTCCCAGGGTTTCATAAGCTTCGCTAATCTCTTGAAACTTCCTGGCAGCAGTTTTACTGTCCAAATCACAGTTGCTATCTGGATGGTACTTTTTCGATAGTCTGTAAAACGCAGATTTCACGTCGCTCTGATTGGCATTACGGCTAATTTCAAGCACGTTGTAAAAGTCTTTCGTCTGATGTGCCTGATTTTGCAGTCTGCGGATACAGTCGAATTCTGAGCAGCGACAACAGATATTCCCATAGAGCAACACATAGCCAGATTTGCACGAGTTGCCCACTAAATTCATCTTCTAGTACTTTCAGCTGCCATTAAAGCAACCACTTGCTGTAAAGATATGAAGACAACGTCAGGCAGCGTGAAAGATCAAACAGTACAAGCGATATATATAGCCGTAAAGCCAAAAGCATAAAACGAAGTTACTAGAAGCAAAACTTTATTCGTAAACCTTTTAAAGAACTATATGAAAACTATTCATGTATCAGCTGAGTGAACATCAATTATGTCGTCGTTTTCTAGTTCCAACTTCGCCGGGGTTGTTTCGACGTCGATCGACTCGCCGTTGAAGGAGAACATTACACTGTGTGGTGGCAATTTGCAATGAGAGGTATAGAGTTCCAAAATTTTAGAAAATTGGTCATCCTAAACACCGTCATTAGAACATACAGATACTTTAAATGGTCACAATACAAATACTACCGCCCGTGAGAGGCGAGATCGAAAATGTGACGCAACAGATTACAAACGGTGAGCAGTCAGAGATTTAACTTTATCCGGAAGCAAAAAAACTTCAAATGTCTTTTTCGGCACGATAAACTCCGTGAGTC